GCGGGCCGGGTGCGCGGCGCAGCCTCCTGTGTTGGAATGTGCGGCTCCGGCGAGCTCGCGGCGCAGCAGCAGAGCCAGCGCCGCCGAGACCCCGGGCCCCAGACCCCGGCGGCGGAGGCGCCCGGGACGGCGGGGCCAGAGCCGGCGGCCTAAGCACTCTCTGCAGCCCCACTCCTGGGCCTTCGCGGGCCTCGACGGCCCCAGCGCCCAACTTTTCCCCCCTCCCCCTCCCCTTCCCTGAAACTCCAGCAACAAAGAAAAGTAGTCGGAGAAGGAGCGGCGACGCCGGGTCGCTAACCCCTCCTCGCCGAGGAAGGCCGGTAAGCACGGCGCAGGGCTGGGGGCTCGGTCGGGGTGGGGGAGGGCCGGCCGGGCGGCGGCGGTGGCGGTGGCGGCGGCGGCGGCGGCGGGAGGGGGAGGGCGCGGAAGGACGCGGAGCGAGGCGCTGTCCAGGGCTGATTTGCAGATACTGTGGCTCCCGCGGCGGCGGCGGCGGCGGCGTCCGGGCCGGGCGGGGGCGGGCGGCCGCGCGGGATCGGGTTACACCGGCGCGGCCCCGGGGCTGGGCCGGGGGCGTCGGTGGGGAGCGGCGCGGCGCCAGGGCCCCCTCCCCAGACGAGGCCGGGCCGCCGCCTCCGCCTCCGCGCGGGCCGGGGCGCCGCTCGGAGTCGGGTCCTGAGGCCACCGCGCGGAGCTGCCTGGAGCCCCAGTCCTGAAACTTCCTCCTCGCCCTCCTTTTGCTCTCAGGTCGCGCCGCAGCCCCTCGCCGGCCCGCGGGCCCTCCTGTCCCCCGCCCTCTCCGGCCTCTCCCTTTCGCCGGAAGGCGCCGTTGAGTGCGGCCGGGCGGGTTGAGTCAGCCCCGGGGCCCGGGCAGGTCAGCCAATGGGGCTGGACAGCGATTTCTGCGCTCGGGCCGCCCCGCCGCCGCGGCCCTCCGCGCCCGGCCACCCCGCCGCCGGAGCTGGCGGGGCCGGGGCGCGCGTCCCGCGGCGCGCCGTGGGGGAGTGAGTTCGCAAACTTCCGGGGCGCGCGTGGGGCCCCCTCCGGCGCTCGGGGCCCGACGCCTCCGGAGGGCGCCCGCGGAGCCGCCCCTGGCCTCTGCGGAGGGCGAGCGCGGAGGCGCGGACAGGGCCGGGACGCCGGCGACGCGGTAACTTTCTTCCCTCTGCCCAGACTCGGGCCCGCGGGCCGGGCAGGGGGCGGCCGGGACTGGGAAGACGGGGTCCGGCCCCGCGGCGCCTCGAGTGTGCCCGGCTGCCCCTTTTTCGTGTGGGAGAGCCCAGGAGGAGCTTCACGACGAGTGCTGGGGTGACTCCCGCGAGTTGGTGTGTAAATGTGTGCAGTGAGCGGGCCCAGCCGAGAGGAAGCGAGAGCGCCCGAGTTTGCAAAGAGCTGCTTTGTGTTTGGTATTTTGAGAAAATGGCCGAATGCCTATTTCAGTCAGGAATGCCGCCGCCGAGGCCGGCGCTGGTGGCAGCAGCACAGAGGAATTCGTGCAACACGTTGGGCTTTCGGGCCGTGCTGGGATGGTCTTCCCGACAAACGTTAAAATTCCTTTAGGGATGGCAGTTGGGGTTGGGGAGGTATTAGAAAAGTCGGTTTTGGGGTAAATTACCGAGTAGCCAGGACGGTAAAGCCCAGGGACAGCTTTTGCCTTCGGTTTGTTTTCTGTGATGGCATTTGATTCCGACTTTTGTTGGTACGTATAACTCAACTGGTTTGTGTGTATGCACTTGGGGTGAAACATTACTTTTTATATTTTGGATTTAACTTAATTTTTTTAGTACTTGCCACTTACTTTGCTTTTTCTGATTTGCGAGAGAACACCTAATTTTGAGAGTAGCACCTTTTAGATTGGAAAGGAACGTGGTTAAGACGATTTTAAAAGCCCAGCATGTTTTCAAGAAGGTGATCTTGTAATGGCTTCCACCAGGCAAGTAGGCCAAGTCAAGCACAATGCGAGAATGTTGCTGATTGTCGAGTTGAGTTGTATCATTATTTTATTAGGGGGTTGGAAAGATTCTTTATTTTCATTTGTGAAGTTTTAAGTATACCAAACTTCCTTTTTCACGGGAAAAAGGGTCCGAATTTTTTTAACAGGCCAAGTCATCGAGAAAATAAGAAACTAAGTGGTACTTTTTCACAGTAGTTTATTCTTCTAGAGTTAGTTGAGTTCATAGGAAATTCAATTCAGTTGACCGGTTATTACAGGCTTCTACTTTCCAGGCGTGTTGGGACCTAATAAATGCGCACTATGGCTTTTGGATTTCTCCCTTTTCTGATTCAGCCCTGTAAACTGTTGAAGGGGGGAATTGGGAGGACTGCAGTGTACTATTCATGGATTGTAATTTAAAAAATAATTTTAATTAACATTAAAAATCAAGGTTACTTATTTTTTTTCTACCAAAAAATTGAAAAGTACTTGAGGGGAAGGCATACCAGTGGTAGACCTAGGTGATGGATGAGTTATGTCAATTAATAGAGTTTTTTGTAGGGAAATAGAAATTTTTTTGGTGACTGCAGTAAAGAGAATTCAGAATTACAAAAATATTTTAAAGGCTTATTTTTATTAGTTAATGAAGCTCATTGGGTTTAAAGGTGTTTTTTTTTAAAGTTATGAGGAATTACAGTGATGTTTTGGTTTTAGACTAGTAAAAGTGGTGTCTAAACTAGTGCTTCTGTGTTTTTTGTTTTGTTTTGAATTCAGAATACAGTTATGGCCACCCAGGTGATGGGGCAGTCTTCTGGAGGAGGAGGGTTGTTCACCAGCAGTGGCAACATGGGTATGGCCTTGCCTAACGACATGTACGATTTGCATGACCTCTCCAAAGCTGAACTGGCTGCACCTCAGCTTATCATGTTGGCAAATGTGGCCTTAACTGGGGAAGTAAATGGCAGCTGCTGTGATTACCTGGTTGGCGAAGAAAGGCAGATGGCAGAATTGATGCCTGTTGGGGATAACAACTTTTCAGATAGTGATGGAGAAGGACTTGAGGAGTCTCCTGAAATAAAAGGTGAACCCAGTGGACTGGAAAACATGGAACTGGAAAGTTTGGAACTCAGTGTTGTAGAACCACAGCCTGTGTTTGAGGTATCAGCTGCCCCAGAAATTTATAACGCAAATAAAGATCTTCCTCCCGAAACACCTGGAGCAGAGGACAAATGCAAGAATTTGAAGACCAAACCTTTTCGCTGTAAGCCATGCCAGTATGAAGCGGAATCTGAAGAACAGTTTGTGCATCACATCAGAGTTCATAGTGCCAAGAAGTTTTTTGTGGAAGAAAGTGCAGAGAAGCAAGCTAAAGCCAGGGAATCTGGTTCCTCCACTGCGGAAGAGGGAGATTTCTCCAAGGGCCCCATTCGGTGTGACCGCTGTGGCTACAATACCAATCGCTATGATCACTATACTGCTCACCTGAAACACCACACCAGAGCTGGGGATAATGAACGAGTCTACAAGTGCATCATCTGCACATACACCACAGTCAGCGAATATCACTGGAGAAAACACTTGAGAAACCATTTTCCCAGGAAAGTATACACGTGTGGAAAATGCAACTATTTTTCAGACAGAAAGAACAATTATGTTCAGCATGTTCGAACTCACACAGGTAAGAGGACCTTTTTAGTCCAAAAGTTCAACTCCTGATAGTTAAATGAGTGGGTAGTTAAAATAGTGCTAAAGAAAGGGGACTTAGTTCAAATCCTGGTTCTGTTTGCTGTCTTTGTGACCTTGGACAGGTTATTTAACCTCTTTGTGCCTCAGTTTCTCCAGGGGGATAACAGTATATAGGATTGGAGGATTAAGTGAAAGAACACATAAAAGCACTGAGTGTTATTTGCAAGACTAGCCAACAGAAATCTTATTAATGCTCTTCCTAAAATACGTATTCTAATAACTTGGGATAGACCATTTGGCTAAATTAGACTACTCTCTTTTTAGAAGATGTATTTAGTTAATAGTGAATACATTACATCTAAGATGCAGTGTAGTTTCCCAAAGGAATTAAGGGCTTAGACAAAAAGGAAAAAAATCCAATGATTAACCCTTGCATAGCTCCTTTTAAAAGAAGCCTCACACTTTTTAAAACATTGACTTAGGTTTTTGAGTTCCTAAGTGGAGTAACTTCACTTGTCCCCAAAACCTAGACACATGAGAACTAGTTTTTAAAAGCTTGGTGGGATTACCACACTTGAAACCATATTCCTAAGAAAGCAAACACGTATGTAAAATGCAGCTGTTTTTCAGACAAAAAACAATAGCGTTAGCATGTTCAAACAAACGTATCAGGTAAGAGGACCTTTCTAATTTGTAAGGGCACTCTATCAAAAAAATGAAACAGTCTTAAAAATATGAAAAATTTCAAACATCTCAGAAGTAAAGAGAATGCCACACTGCACTGACATGTACCCATCACCTATACTCAGCAGTTATCAATATTTTGTCACGTTGGGCAATTTATTTATTTTTTTGGCAATTTTTTTTTAAATAGCATCTTTATTGACATATATTCCAGTGCCACACAATTTATCCATTTAACGTTACAGTCCATTGGTTTTAGTATATTCACAGAGTTGTGCAACCATCGTATCACCACAATGAATTTTAGGACATCTTCACCCCAAAGATAAATCCCTATCTCCTAGTGGTTGCTTCCCATTTTCCCCCAACACCCCTTAACTGTTCACTTTTAAATTGACTTTCAAGTCTTTGTTTTTAAAGAGTCTCATTTTTTTCAATGAAATGTTTGTAACTATTGGTAGTTAATTTTCACATTTATGTTACATTTTCCTGGCAAGAATTGGTATCTTTGAGGACTGATTACTGGTCTGAATAAAATGTGGATGGAGTATCTAGTAGTGTAATCTTTGGGGCACAAGTGAAAAGGGGCTGTGGGATGCTGTTTGCATCTGGTCCCTTTGGCAGGACTTTTCACTCTGCAGGACTGCACCCCACAGTAAAGTGGGACAAGTGGGGAAGGAAATCGATAATTGCTTGCTTAAGTGGTAGACTTAATAAAACTTGCAGGTGAAATTCCATTACAAGAAAGACACCTGCAGTAAGGTTTCTAAGCTCCAGCACATGGCTCCTGTATTTAAACCTTTAAAATCTAGTTAAGTAAAAGAATTCGTGGACCCTTTGGAGTTTGTTGTAACCTGTGATTGATTGTCTCCATGCTTTGAAACCATTTTATTTCAATAGTAAAGAAGTTCAAACATTTCAAAAATACATAGTATAGGAAGTGAAAGTTACTTGGGAATCCTACCCAATCAATCACTTAACAGTTTGAATTAGACCAACTGTTAGACTAAACTAACTTCACCTACAATATCTTAAAACAAATCCTAGATACCATATATACTTCAGCAACAAGTACTTCATATTCATTTAACAGTTTTTTGAAAACCTTGGGGCCTAATTTAGAATTGGCTGTAATAGAGCTTTCAGGTAGTAACTATGACATGTGGTAGAGTGTGTGACTTTTATGTGTCTGCCTTGATGAAGTTTTACAAATAGATGTATACTCATAACTGCTATGCAAATCAACATAGAGAATATTACCAGCACCCCACTGCCTTTGTCTTATTAAATTTTGATTTTTTGTCAGTTGCATTTTGTTAACTTCAGAACTGTTGAGTCACTGAAAAATTATTTTCCCAAAAAATTTCTTCCCAAAAAAAGCTAAAAATGTTTTCAACAATATATCTAAATTGTCAATTTAAGAACATTTTTAGAAGGAAGGAAAAAAGGGAAATGGAGAGAACTGGAAAATTTCAGTTTTGGTGTGTATTTCCAATTTTTGATGTAAAGGGAAGGGTTCTTTTTTTTTTTCTTTTAAAGATTTTTATTTTTCCTTTTTCTCCTCAAAGCCTCCTGGTACATAGTTGTGTATTTTTAGTTGTAGGTCCCTCTAGTTGTGGCATGTGGGATGCCACCTCAGCACGGCTTGATGAGCGGTGCCAGGTCCGCGACCAGGATCCGAACCTACAAAACCCCGGGCCCTCCGAAGTGGAGCATGCGAACTTAACCACTTGGCCTGGGGCCGGCCCCAGGGTTCTTTTTTAAAAACGAGAACTCTACTTTTTGCAATTTCTTAATTTTTTTGTTATAGTGGTTTATTTTCATCTAATTACAGTCTAGGTGACTAATTTTTAATGGATATATTTTATATATAGTTAACTATACCATCCATTACTTAAGATTTTCTCCAAATTTCCACAATAAGTTTATGATTTACATAGCTAACATTGGTTGTACATATCTCATTTCATATTTTAGTGTTAAACCCTTTGGTCTTTTTTTTTTTTGAGGAAGACTGGCCCTGAGCTAACATCCGTGCCCATCTTTCTCTACTTTATATGTGGGACCCCTACCACAGCATGGCTTTTGCCAAGCGGTGCTATGTCCACACCCGGGATCCGAACCGGCGAACCCTGGGCCGCAGAGTAGAATGTACGCACTTAACCGCTGCGCCACCGGCCGGCCCACCATTTGGTCTTAATGCTTTTGTGAAAGACTTCTACCCCTAGTTTTAGCTTACTTGTGATTTTTTCTTTTTAGTTTCGCACCTGAGCTAATGTCTGTTGCCAATCTTTTTTTTTTCCTTCTTCTCCCCAAAGCCCCCAAGTACATAGTTGTATATCTTAGCTGTGAGTGCGTCTGCTTCACATGGGATGCTACCTCAGCATGGCCTGACAAGCAGTGCCATGTCGGTGCCCAGGATCCGAACCGGTGAAACCCTGGGCTGCCAAAGCCCAGCGCACGAACTTAATTACTCGGTCATGGGGCTGGCCCCATATTTGTGATTTTTAAAACAATTTGGTGGTGTATAAATTGAGGGATAATATTTTGATTATGTGAATTCTGAGAATATCTTTAGTGTTAAATTCATGGTTCTGAAAACTGTGTGGAAAAATAAATTCATCTAGTTCTGAAGAGTGGAGATGAGAAAATGATACTCTGAGGGAATCACTTCTCATTTCTCCTTGAGGTAGCCTGGTTTCATTTAATGAGTTTCTTCTGTTCTTTTATTGAGAGCCCAAAGTTAGGTGTTTCTTCTATTCTGTGCCTTTAGAACAATTCATTGAGGAAACAGAGTAAGTGATAATAGCTCATGTTTACTGAGGAAAACTTCAGACTTTGAGAGCCTGAAGTGATATGCCCAAGGTCACATACAACTAAGATTCAGAGTTCTGAGAGCTCTCTTTTTAAAGGTAATTATCATGGTGGGGGCTGAGGATTATTTTTATATGAGTCTTCAATCAAAAGAATTTAAATTTTGTGGTTTTAATTTTTAGTCAGTTCCCAAATTTTACTTTAAAAGATGACATTTTTGCCTGTGTGTGACTGAAAAATCACTAATTTTTCTAGAGTATTTATGCCTATATTGTAGAATTGCATAGACAGAAGCAACCTATTCTGTTAAAGGATTTAAAAGTAAGTTACCCAGGGGCTGGCCTGGTGGCATAGTGGTTGTTTGTGCACTGCTTTGGTAGCCAGGGTTCGTGGGTTCAGGTCCTGGGTGTGGACCTACACACTGCTCATCAAGCCATGCTGTGGCAGTGTCCCACGTACAAAACGGGAAGATTGACGTGGATGTTAGCTCAGGGGACGATCTTCCTCAAGCGAAAAGAGGAAGGTTGGCAAAAGATGTTAGTTTAGGGCCCATCTCTCTCTCTCCCTCTCCCTCTCCCTCCCTCCCTCTCTCTCTCTCTCTCTCTCTCTCTCTCTCTCTCTCTCACACACACACACACACATACACACACACACACACGCGCACACGAAATAAAAAAAAAAGTAGATTAGCCTTAATCAATCCTTCATGTTACTCTATAGTGCTGTTTAACTAGTTTTCTGTTAACTTTTTTTATGACAGCTTAATTGAGATACTATTTACATACCATTCAATTCACTTTGGATTGGCCTGTTCTGGACATTTCATACAAATGGAATCATACAACATGTCCTTTGTGACTGTCTTCTTTCACTTAGCGTAAAGTTTTCAAGGTTCATCCATGTTGTATGTGTGATGCTTGTTTTCCTTCTATTGCCAAATAATACTGTCTTGTGTGGATATGCAATATTTTGTTTATCCATTCATCAGTTAATGGATATTTGGATTGTTTCCACTTTTTGGCTGTTATCAGTAATGCTGCTATGAATGTTTCATGTACAAGTGTTTGTGTGGACGTGTGTTTTTTCCTCTTGGGTATGTACCTAGGAGTGGAATTGCTAGGCTGTTTGGTAACTATGTTTAATCATTTGAGGAACTGCCAAATTGTTTTCCAAAGTTGCTGCACAATTTAATTTTACAATCCTACCAGCAGTGTATGAGGATTCCGATTTCTCCATATCCTAATCAATACTTGTCAATTTCTTCACATCTGACCCAATAATTAACATCTGTCATTTTGATTATAGCCATCCTGGTGGATGTAAAGTCTTCATCTCATTGTGGTTTTGATTTGCATTGCCTCATGGCTCATGATACTGTGCATCTTTTCATGTGCTTATGGCCATTTGTGTATCTTTACAGAAATACATTTAATATTTTTTAAACTATCTTAAAATTCTTCCAGGTCAAAGTAGGCATTCTATTGCTGTGAGCTCTTTATAGCTGATCTATAGCTACCAGCTAATTAAAGCTGAACAGTTACTAGGAACACATTTCCCACTTATCACCACATTCTTTTTCCTTTTTTCACTCTATCTTTTCGTTTCCTGTCTCATTTTATTAGACATCTCGTACTCTATCTTCTTGTGTAGACAAAAAACTCATATTTTTTGAGCCCCTTATTATGTGCCAGGCATAGTGTTAAATGCTCAGCATGTATTATCTTTAATTTAAATTATTACAATTCTAGGAAGTAAGGGTACTGTTACTTTTATACATGAGGAAACTTGCCCAAGGTCATAATTATTATCTTGTAGCCAAAGTCTAGATGAAAACAAATTGTCAGGCTTTTCTTTTTTGAATCTGTTTTGTCGTTGACAACCCATGTCCAAAAAGAGTACACATTTCCTGCCTTTGAGTCTTAAATTCTTTAGTACTAAATCATTGGCCTCTCATCTTCAGTTGCTCTCAGTCCCTATGGCTTTATGAGTATAATTTGTTTTAACACTGACCTATTTCATAAAAGTTATATCTACCAGTTGAAATTGTTAGCTTAAAACAACATCCCCACTCAAAAGCATTCTTGCTTTAAGCTAACAGTTTCAAATGATAGATTTGTCATTTACAAGGATTAAAAAAATGACTCAAACCATAGCATCAGAAAATTTGGGTAGATTCTTTTAAGGATAATTCTAATTAAAAAAAGTAATTAGGAGCATTTCTTCTTAATATTTAATGTAATAACATGTAACATTACTGTGAAAATTAAGAGGGGTGTGAGAATTCAGAAAGCCAGTGATGTTTTTTGTCAGCAAAGCTGAAATAATGTAGTTACATGAATTCTGAATTAAATCATTTCTGTTTCCAATACTTGGTATAAATTGACCGTTTTGCCAGGAATAGGGGAAAAAAATGCTTGATACTAAATATTGTATATATTGTTAGTGAGAATTGTATTTGCCTTATTTTATCATATTTAAACTCTAATCATTATATTTTTGCAGGAGAACGCCCATATAAATGTGAACTTTGTCCTTATTCAAGTTCTCAGAAGACTCATCTAACTAGACATATGCGTACTCATTCAGGTTGGTAAGAAATGGGAACTTTTAAAATCATTTTTAGTAAACTAGCATTAAAAGAAAGTTCTTCTAGACCTGGAACTGGGTCATTATTTATGCTTATTTTTTAGTATAATTGAGAAATTTATAGTTAAAAATCAGTGTTCTATTAATGTGGAACTGTGTCTGAAGGGAGATTCTTAACAAGGAGTCCTTAGGTAGAACTCCTAAAACTGAATGTAAATGTGCATATGTACTTTTTCTGGGAGCAGGGTCCTTAATTTTCATCAAGTCTTCAACAAGTTCCATGACTCTGATAAAAGTTGAACTGATAGCATATACCAAGATTGATTCATCCTTCTTTTGAACAGTTCCTGCCTTCTCAACTCCCTCCTCACCGCAGTGTAACGCCAAGTTTCATAGTGTGTGGTTGCCAGGTTCCAGGTATTCCTTAGCTTCTCAAGTCTTGAAATTTGGGTTTATTCTCTTTGGAGAGTTGATAGAACTTCTGAGGACTGATTTAGAAAAGCAAACTTTACAGAATGATACCAGGATACCAATATATTAATCTACAGTAGATAAAATGCAGGACTCTAACAAGTGGGAGATTCATCCACTGCAGTGACTGAAATAAGTATGATCACCAGCCAGAATTGGTCCCCATTTTCAAGGTATGCAGGTGGCCAATTTAAAGAGTAAATATTAGCATAGGTGGTCTTCATTGGATAATTATTTCATTTTGGCCATGATTGACCTTTGGTGAACTGCCATGGCTGATCAGAACACGGCACTCTCCTTCCTGATTTAGAATATATACCCCTGTGGGCAAACTCTACACTAAAATTTTGCTGTTCACAAAAGTCTATGTAGACCCATCTCTTTTAAGTTAAGTCACTATAAATCTGTGCTGTCTGATTGGGTAGTCACTAGCCACATGTGGTTATTGAATTTGTGAAATGTGGCTGGCTTGAATTAAGATGTATAAAATACATACTGGAATTCGAAGAGTATGAAGAAAATGTAAATTATCTATTTTTTTAAATACTGATTACATGTTGACATGATATTGGGTATATTGGGCTAAATAGTAAAATTAATTTTACCTGTTTATTTTTTACCTTTGTAATGTGACTATTAGAAAACTAAAATCACATATATTACTTGCGTTTTATTTCTATTGGATGTTGCTGTCTCAAGTCAGTGATGAATAAGACTTGATTCTAGTACAGATTCTGATTTGAGCGGCTATGAAGGGGTCATATAGTATGCTTGCTAGCCTTTCTTGACCATACAAGCTTGTCATGTTAATATACTTTGAGTGTTCCTTGTAAATGTCCTAAGCTATTGAGTTGGGTCACTTAATCAGAATCCTTGATTATATTACTTCTGGGTGCTTCCTGGTTTCATTTTCTGAGGGTAACTGGGATGCTATCACAGGCTTTGTGGAGGGTAGGCATCATGTCTTGTTTTTGGTTTTTTTTTTTTGAAAGATTTTATTTTTCCTTTTTCTCCCAAAGCCCCCTGGTACATAGTTGTGTATTTCTAGTTGTGGGTCCTTCTAGTTGTGGTGTGTGGGACGCCGGCCGCCTCAGCGTGGCCTGATGAGCGGTGCCATGTCCATGCCCAGGATTCGAACTGGTGAAACCCTGGGCCGCCACAGCGGAGTGCGCAAACTTAACCACTTGGCCATGGGGCCGGCCCCGCATCATGTCTTGTTGATAGCTATGTTCTAGCCCTTACATCATTTAAGAGCTTTACATGAATTGACTCTGGTCTTCATAACTATTCCGTGATGTATAAGTTCTATTATTATCCCCATTTTACAAATGGGGAAACTAAGGCATTGAAGAAATATGATCACCTTTCCTGTAAAATGTCCCCCCTTCTGGTTTTTGTCTTTCTCATGGTGTCATTAAGTTTTTCTTCTGTCCCTGTGCCTTGTATTACTTGTACACTGGAAATTAAATTCTTGATACCTACTTCATGATGTCTCATTTGGAGTCATGTCTGGTTGACCCATTATTAGTGTTGCTGGGTCACTAGATTAGAATGATGACACACTTGTATTTTTTCATTGAATTCATAATACTTTTCGCATTCTGTAAGTGTTTATCTATGGTATTTTACACCAGTCAATAATCTTTGCCTGAACGATTTTGAGTTTGCTCTTGTCTTTTGAATTTTCTTTGCTATATTTTAAAGATTATTTTTGGTAGTTGCTGTTTGTTACAGTACAGCAAGTATTTTAAAAGTTTGTTACTAATCAGTAGTACTACTATTTCCTGAATGCATGCTCAGTACTGAAAAATTGGGATTTGTTATCTCTAAGTACTTCTAAAATACTTAATCCTAGTTTGTAGATTAGGATACAGGTTTAGAGAGGATAAATTCTCTATCTAAGGTTAATTGTCATTCTTCCAAATTAGAAGAGCTAGGATTTGACTTCAGACTCCTCCACCCGCCCATTTTCAGTTATCAACATGTTAAAAGAACATCATGGCTAAAAAAATGGTTCAAGGGGCTGGCCCCATGGCCCAGTGGTTAAGTTCGCACACTTTGCCTGGGCGGCCCAGGGTTTCTCAGGTTCGCATCCTGGGTGCGGACATGGCACTGCTCATCAAGCCATGCTGAGGCGGCATCCCACATGCCACAACTAGAAGGACCCACAACTGGAAATACACAACTATGTAGCCCGGGGGCTTTGGGGAGAAAAAGGAAAAAATAAAATCTTTTAAAAAAAAAAAAGATTCAAGAAGCTACAGCATAGTGAAATTGGAACCACAGTGTATTGAGAAAGCAGAGCCATTGTCTTGTATTGGATGCCAAGTTTGTGAGTCACAAACAGGAAACAAACATCGTTAATCTGTTTTGTGTATGAGTGTGCTGAATTATTTATTTTCAGCAGATCCTACGTTTTAAGACTTTGAATACAAGTTACTGATAACACTTGCAGTAAAGTGAGGCTAAGTTATTAGGTGAAATTGAGTAGGTGTGGTGTTTCTAACTGGGTTGCATGGAGTGAATATCTTGGTCTTGGGTGCCTTCTCTGCTCTGAAGTCTGATCTTTACAGATCATCTTGGGCATTTTGGTTCCTTGTTCATGTGAATGTGTTTTAGGGAAGAGATGTGTGTGCTCGGTCCTTTATTTCTGGAAGAGATTAGGCTCTGTTGAGTTGGTACATTTTAGCTAAACTGACAAAAAGATTGGTTTATGAAGCAAAACCACATTGGTTATTTACTTGGAGCACTTTCATCCATAGGGTAGGTCGTCTCATGCCAAATTAGGATGGGATCAGGATGTTGGTTTGGTGAAAAAGAAAATTGGATGTTGGTGAAAATAGACACATTAACCTAATCTGGTGTTATTCTCCATTTTAGTGGTGTTTCTACCTAATGGTATTAGAGTATGCTCGCCTAGGTAGTCCTAGAGGCATTGACTTTTTTTTTTTTTGAGGAGGATTAGCCCTGAGCTAACATCTGCTGCCAATCCTCCTTTTTTTGCTGAGGGAGCCTGGCCCTGAGCTGACATCCCTGCCCATCTTTCTCTACTTTATATGTGGGATGCCTACCACAGCATGGCTTTTGCCAAGCGGTGCCATGTCCACACCTGGGATCTGAACCGACGAACCCCGGGCCACCAAAGCAGAACCTGTGCACTTAACCGCTGAGCCACCTGGCCGGCCCCGAGGCACTGACATTTTGTCCTCAGCTCTCCCTTTCCTATTCTTGGTAGAGATGCTACTATGATGTATGTACTATGAAATACATCCAGTTTATTTTTGCTATTATGGTATTTTTTGTATCACGCTGGCTAGTTCCCTATCCAGCTAGCATAGGAGTTCATTTTGAATATTTCTCCATTAATGTGTAATGGATATATTTGTTAAAGGGAATTAACAACTGGCCAAGTTCCACCTCCATTTATTACTCTTTTTAAGATGGAAAAATATTTTATTCTGCAATAAATTTATTTTTCTTTCACCAAGTATTTGATGATTATTATGGAGTCACTGTTTTAATAGCTGGGTTTATTTGAAAGATGTTATGATTTGAGAGTCTTTTGTGAATTCTAGAATAATTTTTAAACAGTATTTTAGTGAGGTTTAATTTACACACATGAAAATGCACATATCTTAAGTATACACCTCAATGACTTTATGTATATTTTCACGTGTTTGGCTACCACCCAGATGAAAACATGCAACATTTTTACCACCCTCAGAAAAATTCCCTCCTTACCCTTTCCAGTCAGTACCGCCATCCTCCCCGAAGTGGTACTCTGACTTCTATCAAAAAGAATGTTTGTCTAAATGTTTATGAGATTCGTCCCATGTTGCATTATCAGGACTTTGCATTTATTGCTGAGTAGTAATCAGTCCTATGCCCCTATTACTCTTTAATTAAAAATTTCCCTTGCTGTTCTTTCTGGATCATTCTTGATAATGTATAAAGCTTGTAAAAATCTTTCCTCTTTTGAATTTGCCTTACATCTATAAATTAATTTTGGAAGTATAAAGTAGACGTCTGATACATTTGTAAAGGTGAAGAACATAGGTAAATATTACTAGAATTGGAAAAGGCACTTAAGTTAAAATCATTAGTACAGGGCAAAAAGATTTATATTCAGCTAGGTACTAATAAACTATAAACTTTTGATGAATAGATATTCTAATACAAGCAAGATTTAAGGGCAGTAAAACAAAATTGGGGGGGGGGTGGTGATGAATGGAGCAAGTAAAATATTGCCATCGAATTTTAAACAGATTCCTGTATCCTCTCATTCCCTGACCATTTCATAGATAGAGGCTTGCACCTTGATTGATGCTTGCTGTGTAAATACCCTCATTCACTAGGGGTTATGAAGTGGTGGATATTTTCATTCTAATTATTTTATTAGCACAAATATTTTCATAAAGAGATAAATCCATTAATCAGGTACTTGTTTGCTCAGAGGTAGAGTTTATGTGGAAAGGCAGAATAAACACATAAATCTTCCCTTTTGTTTGCCCACACTAAAAATTACCAGTCTGTTCCCAAAGCGATGAATTATGGGTAATACACATTGACTGCTTGGCTATCTGCCCTATGCTAAGTGCTTTATATGAATTAGATTATTAACAGCTCACAACACTCAGGAGTATTTTACAGATGAGGAAATTGAGTCGAGCTTTCAATCCCTTGCTCAAGATCTCACAGTAAGTTGCAGAGCCCATATTTGATCCCCCAGATATTCTTACTCTAGAACAAGTTCTTAACTTTTATGCCGCTTATCTTTCCCCATTCTGTGTCTGTATATGTTAAGCAAGTGTTTGCCTCCATTGAAGTGATTCGTTGGAGAGGACAAGATAGGGCCAAGTACAGACTAATGTAGCATGTTGTAGAAACCTCTATTTGTGAATCTATTAGTGGACTAACATGGAGAAGGTTAACATGTGGCTGTTTGTGTTTTTTGAGGTTACTTCTGTCTGCTGTTTTATAGTCACAGTGTGGGCAGGTAAGAGGTTTAGGCCCATCCACTTAGCTCCTTATCCAGTCTGATGTACCTGGATAAATTTTTGTTTCTGTGATTGAATCTTTTATCATCAGACATTTTATAATTATGGTAAAGCTTACCATCTGCATGGTTATTACTTAATGTCTGAGTATTTTTGCTTTATGAAAAAATTAAGATTTGATATGAATTTGAGAACGTTTGAGAGATGAATTTTCATAAATGTCAATTTCCATTTTTCTACTATGCATTCCATTGGACCAGTGGGGTATGGATACCATTTGGTAATATTTACTAGAGTGTGACTAGATGGGTATGTATTCAGGTAGAATGTGTTACTCGTACGCCTTTAATGTGGGGGTGGGGGTGTGGGTGCTTCTGGTTTTGTATGTACCTGTGATTATGACTTTGTTTGCTTATTATACATACCATATCTATTTGTATGCCCCTTCTCATGTACCTAATTTTTTTGCCTGTTTTTTAGAAGAAGGTGGGAAAAAATCAAGAAAAGTTTTCTGACTTGGCTATATTTTTGTTTTAAAATAGCAACTCTGGCATTGGAAAAGTTTGTTGAATGAAACTTAACTCTTGCCATGATTGACAAAAGGGTTAAATTTAAAGATGACTTTGATCCCTGAGGCTAAAGCAGTATTTTAAAACTTTTGCACCTGCAGGTCTGCAGTACAGGAAATTTCTTTGAAGTCTCAAGATTTACCTTAACAATATATGAATTTTATATTCTATTCCATTATACATTTGTTCTAACTAAACATAAAAAATTTTAAATTATTTTCTCTTTTTGAGTCTCTTTGCCTCCAAATTGACATCCAGAGCCCAACTGCCAATTATTGTGTACTTTTTGATGAATCTCTGCTCTTTAATAGTGCTTGAGAGCCCTAGCTTGATGAACTTTTTAAAAGATGATGGCTAACTGAGATAATTATTCCTTGTTTTGATTTGAGAATCAGTGTCAAGGGATAGAGAAAAGATATACAAATAAATATGGTAAATAAGGTGCATGATACAATCTTTTCAATAAATAGTTTTTGTGGTTTTTTTTTTAAATATCCAATTCCTTATAAAGTGTATTTTAATAAAACCTTGAATTCATTTCTTAATCTATGTCTTCAACCTCTCTTGTTTACCTTCAGGTGAGAAGCCATTTAAGTGTGATCAGTGCAGTTATGTGGCCTCTAATCAACATGAAGTAACTCGCCATGCAAGACAGGTTCACAATGGGCCTAAACCTCTTAACTGCCCACACTGTGACTACAAAACAGCAGACAGAAGTAACTTCAAAAAACACGTAGAGCTACATGTTAACCCGCGGCAGTTCAATTGTCCCGTATGTGACTATGCAGCTTCCAAGAAGTGTAATCTGCAGTATCATTTCAAATCTAAGCATCCGACTTGTCCTAATAAAACGATGGATGTCTCAAAAGTGAAACTAAAGAAAACCAAAAAGCGAGAGGCTGACTTGCCTGATAACAATATTACCAATGAAAAAACAGAAACAGAGCAGACAAAAATAAAGGGGGATGTGGCTGGAAAGAAAAATGAGAAGTCTGTAAAAGTGGAGAAAAAAGATAGTGTTTCAAAAGAGAAAAAGCCTTGTAGTAATGCTTCGATCCAAGTGACTACCAGAACTCGCAAATCAGCAATGGAAACTAAAGAGATGGATGTGCATATAGGAAATAGTTCAGAAAAACCCTGTAAAACCAAGAAAAGCAAAAGGAAGGTGGAAGCTGAAGCCCATTCTTTACAAGATCCTGTTAATGATGAGGAACCTTTGACAAAAAAGAAAAAGAAAGCAGAAAGAAAATCCAAAAATAATCAGGAAGCGCCAAAAGGTGACAGCAAAGTAGAGGAGAATAAAAAGCAAAATACTTGCATGAGGAAAAGTACAAAGAAGAAAACTCTGAAAAATAAATCAAGTAAAAAAAGCAGCAAGCCTGCTCAGAAGGAGACTACTCCAAGGGGGTCTGCTCAGACAGAGCCTCCTCAAATAGAGCCTGCTCAGATGGAGTCATCTCCTCCCCTGGAGTCTGCTCAGACAGAGCCACCTCCTTCCATGGAGTCTGCTCAGATGGGGCCTCCTCCTCCCATGGAGTCTGCTCAGATGGGGCCTCCTCCTCCCATGGAGTCTGCTCAGATGGAGCCTCCTCCTCCCATGGAGTCTGCTCAGTTGGGGCCTCCTCCTCCCATGGAGTCTGCTCAGACAGAGCCTCCTCCTCCCATGGAGTCTGCTCAGACAGAGCCTCCTCCTCCCATGGGGGCTGCTCAGATGGGGCCTCCTCCTCCCATGGAGTCTGCTCACATGGAGCCTCCTCCTCCCGTAGAGTCTGCTCAGACAGAGCCTCCTCCTCCCATGGGGGCTGCTCAGATAGAAGTTGTCCAGAAGGGGCCTGTTCACGTGGAGCTGATTCCCAAAAAGTCTCCTCGAAAAGAAAATAGAAAGGAAAAGTTGAACATGGAGAGTGAAATGGCACGGAAGGAGCAAGTCCTTATTGAAGTTGGCTTAGTGCCTGTTAAAGATAGCCAGCCTCTAAAGGAGAGCACAGGTGCACAGCATCTTTTACCACCATCACCACTGCTGCCAAAGGAAACCTTAGAAGAAGAGGAGTCAAGAGACCAAAAATTATTCACTGAAGGCAAAGGAAATAAAGAAGCCCCTCTTGAAAAAGTAGAAGCAGAAGAGGCAGATAAGAGTCTAACTGGTCTTGCTGCTATTATCAAGGAATCTGCCAATATTTCATCCTCTGAACAAAACTTGAATGTGCCAGAGGGTGAAACTTTAGATGGTAACCATCAGGCTGATACTATGCTTTGTGAAATGGAAATGGACACAGATGAGAACAAAACAGAGAATCCCCCTGGCAAAGACTCAGCAGTTGAAGAACCAATTTCACCACTGCTTCTTCCCTTACCAATAGAAAAACATGAAGAAGCAGTGTCTAAAACTGCTGTGGCATCACCTCCTGTCACCACGGCAGTAAATGAGTCTCAGGAAATGGATGAAGATGAAGGCATCCACAGTCATGATGGAAGTGACCTGAGTGACAACATGTCAGAGGGTAGTGATGATTCTGGATTGAATGGGGCTCGGCCAGTTCCACAGGAAACTAGTAGAAAAAATGCAAAGGAAGCCTTGGCAGTCAAAGTGGCTGAGGGAGATTTTGTTTGTATCTTCTGTGATCGTTCTTTCAGAAAGGAAAAAGATTACAGCAAACACCTCAATCGCCATTTGGTTAATGTATACTTCCTTGAAAAAGCAGCTAAAGGGCAGGAGTAATTAAACTTTGGACAAGGCTTCATTTCTTAGGTTGTAAGATCTATTACTAAATTTACATTCATTTATAGTAGTAGACAACCATTTATTTTAAAAATTGCTTTAATTAGTGTCCAGTGTTGATTTTTAAGTGGCACTCTTTTCCTTAGGACTCTGTATACCTATTGTTGTATAAAGTGTAGCAAATCCAAGGGAGTTAGTGTATTAGTATACTAAACCAGCAGACATGTAAATCTGTTAGCTTATGCATTTAATTGAAACAAGAAGGCCAAGGTGGTATTACAGCGTTCTATTGCTTTGTGCAGCTATAACTTGTCAGTTTTTCTCCTGATGGCTATCTTCCTGTTTTACTTTAGTTTATTCTTAGTTCCTTGTTTAGCTCCATAAAAATTGGCATACTTAAATAGCAAATGACTTGAAGAATTTGCCTGCTTTATATAAAGTTAGCACTTTAAAATTTTTTTAGAGATGAGAAGAGACATGTAAATTGAAGAAAAATTCTCCCAACAACGGACATTGTATCAGTCCAGGTATTTCCTTCCTGAGTTTTGATCAATATTTCTTATTTGTGTATGTTAATCGTTATAAAAACAATGATTTTGGTGTGTTTTTTTTATTTTGGTGCTTTAATGGCTTAAGATGTTGCACATTGTTTTTTGTTTTAACCTATGCAGTTCAATTTTTTCTAGAAATAGCATTTGTGTTGAGCAGTAACACTTTATACATATATATGCATGTTGATTTTGTCCTCTTTGGAGGGATGCTTTTAGTCTTGTTTGCAAAAGGGCAGTTTTCTTTTTCCTTTGCTGCAATTGTCTTTTTTGCAGAATATTAGTGTGCAAGTTTGTGAGCAAATGAAATATGCAGGTTCAATCCATTGATTTTGATTTTCACATCTTATATCTATGCCAGAATCTGTATTTCATGTAAGTTATTTATTTTAAATGGATGTAGTAAATTTGTAGCTCTCAGTTTGAACTTTGCAATAAATAAACCACTAGGCTCTATATTGAAAGATGTTTATCTCAAATACCAACCATAAGTAAGTTTTTTGGGGCCTATTTTGTTTTAGTACAGCTACTTCCTAAGTGTACAGTGTTGAGTCGTATCTTTGAGGGAAACCCTTTTTCATAGATGGTTGGTGTCCATATGGCTCCTCAGCTGAATAAAGAACTGTAAGTGATACTTGGAAACTGCAAACCTGGAATTAGGAGACATAATTACTCCTTCAAGTTATACAGAATATCAGTTGTGAGATTCCAAAGCCATAGCAACTATATGGAAAACCTAGGATGAGAAAGGTAGTTTAAGTGCTGGTAGACCAGCTGCTACTTCCTATGAATACAATGAAAAACGCTGGTGAGACTTAAGTACAGTCCAGATTAAAAAAAATCACACTTTCTCAGGGATCTCCACAAACTAGTGGGTGTCCTGGCTGTCCCTATGACAGCCTCTTTCTACAGGTGAGGCCTCAAGTGAGTTGTAGCTAGCCTAGTGTTCCTATGGGGGCACTTTGTATGAAAAAGAGTGTGTACTCCCAAACTTTTGGTGGTTCTTTGGACAGTTGCCAAAGAATATGAAAGAATCCAACATAAGGATTTTTCTTGTTGATAGCAGGTATTCATTGCAGTAAAATAAAGTATGATCCCAATAGGGAATCTTAAAAATTCTCATCTCCCATTTTCTATTCTGAAATAACCACTTTATATTTCATTTATTTTTTTTTATCTGGTGATCTCTTTGAGGCAGGTTTCAGAGTTTGGCAGTGCAACATGAAAGATTAGGAAAAGCATTGATGAAGTGTGGGTGGAAAATTTGTTAAAAATCTGAGAGAGAAGTTTGAGTTAAAAGACATTTGAACTTGGAATTGACTGGGAGGCCAAAGATTTAAAGAAGCAGAAGATTCTCTCAAGACATGAGGAGTAAGTTGTGAGTTAATGGTGTGTGTTTTGTGTGCATGAATGGGAATTTGTAAATGATGTTGAATTCTAGGTGAATTCTCGGCTCCGACAATCATTGTCAACAGAAGATCAAGCTGCAAATATTTATGTTTAAAACTTAAATTATAAAGCTAGTTAAGTCTTTCTAACAACTAGTTTTAATGTTCATGGGTACATTTTATGTAAGTTACCTTTTGCATTATATATGAAAAGATTCATGTTAAGTACAGATTAGAGATTGGGAATCAGTTTGGGGAAGACGTTTTTGTGGATTCTTTCATACTACGAAAGAGAAAAACTTGACTCTGGGGAATTGGACTAATTTTCTTAGCTAGTTTTTAAGATTAGAACGCTAAAAACAAAATATGAAGAAAATTAAAACCCCTTATTATTAAATTGATCTGTGAAAACATTGTTACTGGAAATTGAGTGGAACTTGAGGCCTTTCTTCCAGAAAACAAGGACTTGATTGTCAGGCCTATATTAGGTTCTGAACCTTAATGCCATGTATTTGTACTTACTAAAAATTGTTTCAATGAAAAGCATATTAGTAATGTGAACTTCTGGTCTAGTTGGGAGTTCTTCCATTTGAAAAATGTGATATTTGCATGGAACTGTTTGAATCCTTTTGTTTTCTCAGTTTCCCCTCCACTGGATAGAATTGAAGCTAGAATTTTCCCGTTTGATAAGGAATAAAAAGTGAACATGTTATTTGTAAATTGCTGTTTAGTAACTAGAGATAAACTTGAAATACTAGAATACATTATAAACCTAATCCTAGGTAGTCTTATGAAAATGTATCGCTTTTAACTATCTTTTGAACCTATATTCACATTGGTTTTCAAGATATTTTAAGTTATATTTTTTCCTCTTTTCAGAGCTGCTTCTTCGGGGCTACTTTTTTTATTTTTTATTTTTATTGAGTGTAATTCACAAGGAGCTACTTTTTTTTGGATAAGGCTTCTTATAACTATGGCTGGATGTTTTGCTCTAGTCTTCCAAGAAGGGCCATTTTATCTTTTAGAGTCATTTCTAAAGTCGTGGTCTTTAACTTAGGGGACTATTTTGCATATGAGTGCTCATACAAATTTAAACCCACGTAGACCTCATCACATGTCACCCCATGAATGTTGACAGTGGAGGGAATACCTTGCCTGTAGTATAATATCAGTTCTGGACTGAAAAGCTGGGGAAGAAACTTATTTTTCTCTTTTGCATAAATCAGAAAAACAGCTAGTATGCAGAGTTTTCTTATTGACCTCAGCAGATGAACTGAGCTGATAGTGTTAATTCAGATTGAAGAAATTATCTGAATCTTGGTTTGTGTAGATTTGTGATCTACATGCAATATTAACTAAATCAGATAGCTTTTACAGTTTCACATGTGTACATAGGCTCTCCCCACCCTTTTCAACATCCATTAGTTATTGAACTTTGTAAACTGGCATTGAAACATTACAGCAATGTTTTGTTGCACCAATCTTGTAAACTTTTACAGTGCAATACGTATTATTTTTCAGAGACAAACCAAAGGTTAATTTCTCAAGGTTCTTGCTGCCTGCTTTAGCAGCATTTGATGGAGGATCTTTTATATACATTTGTAATAGATAAAAAATAAACCAGATTGCAAATCCTTTTTTTTTTTTCCTTTTTAAAGCTTAAACCATGTACCAAGTTTTTGGTCCAAATTGTGTAGGATAAGTTAAACTTAAATTGCATTCTATTAACCTATATGAGTGTATTTCTGTAAGCATAGTTATGTTGAAATAAAGTTTTAAAAAGTGTTTTATGCCTTTGTTCATTATTGGTACATCAAACATCACGGAAGCCACATTTATTTTGCTGGAATTGCAAGTGTATTAATAATTTTCAAAATTACTTCCCCCAGATAACCCATAGATGGTAGAAAAGCCGTGGTGGTCTTCATTGTTTGGGGTAACAGTCCAGTGGAGTAGTCAAAAGCCTATCTTTTGTACTCTCATTTCTGGGAGGTGGAGGTGGGGGAGAAAACAACCTTCAGACAATTCGCAGGTTTTGCATAGTAATTCCTTCCCAGCCACAGGTCCTCTTGACAGTTTTAACATGCATGTCCCTTCTCAGTAGCAGGCCTGGTGTTAGTAAAATTTTGACTCTTAATTGGAAAAAGATGCATTGAAGGGACAATAAATTAGGTTACATTCAGTGTTCACTAGGTGTCAGGGCACAGTTTTAAGGATTTTACTGACTTTGCTGGAAGTCTGAGAAGAAACTGAAACCTAAGAGAAAGTGATAAACCAGCTGAGCTGTACGTGGAAGGCTTATGTGTTTTTGTGGAGTTGAGAGAAAAGGGAAAGGGAGTTGGAGAAACCTCTGGCAAAGCATTGAAGCGACTGGATTACATTTTGTCCTGATGCAGCACGTGACCTGGAAGATCCTGAGTCATAAGAAAGAACAAATATTTTGTGTTGAATTGATGAGAGGGATTCACTCTCTTCCCCTTCCTGCAAGAGTGCTTATTAGGAACAAAGCAAAATGAATTTCCAATCATTTTATTGGCGTGGTAGAATCACTGACAAGGAGCATGGAAGCTCCTGCCTGACCAAAGATATATGGGGAATTTATCTTGAATATATAAATGCTATTGATGTCTGATTTGGTTTGTTTAATGAATGAAAGAATTGTTACACCCACCTCATCTTTCTCCAGTGCCTTGCTGCCTCTTTCCCTGAGGCTTACCCCTGTTAGGACGTTTACTTGTATCACATATTTACTCTTGACCTATTGGCTATTTTTTCTCCCCAGGGTCTCAATCAGGGCTTGACCCTAGCTTGTAGGTCGAGTTGCAGTGTAGTAATATGAGCTCCCCTCTAGGGTACTTTACAGCTCTTGTCCTCAGCTCCACAAAGGCAGATTGGCGAAGGTGCTAAGAACAATGTATTAATGTTTGCCAGTTGGAAAGTTCCAGTGTTAAGAAATAGCTTTTTCAGAGGTTTTTGATGCTCACTGTATCAAGTGTTCTGTGGGCCCTGGAGTTAGAGCTGGGTTCACAATGGGCCCCTCTTCCTTTCTACCGTAATTGGGCAGATTATTTTAACTTTACTAAACCCATTTCTTCATCTATAAATTTGGGGATATGCGTGGTACTTCTGTCCATAGAGTGGTTATTAAGCACTTGGCCTGCATGGTCTATAGTTTTAGTATTAAGACCTCTTCCACTAGATAACAAATCAAATAAGTATTCTTAAATAAAGAAAATGCTTCCTCTGGGCATGATTAAGTTATACAGTTGACATGCTTGTCTTGCACGCCTTGCAAAATAGTGAGCTTTTAATGTCAAAGTAGTATGTGGGCTTTTGTCTCCAACTTTATTGTAATCTCTATGAAACTCAGAATGCTTTTATGTTCACTGCTTTATTCAAACACTGAAACAGCATCTGACCCTTAGGGCAAGTAGTTAATTGCCTGGTACGAGAAGTGTGTGTTTCTCCTTGATTTCCAATTAATTAATAGACAATGGTACTTTTACTGTAATTTTTAAATTCTAATAATGGAGAAGTCTGTTGGTTCATAGACAGACTAGGTTATTTTTCTGGATGCGTTAACAAGGCAGGGAGGGTCAACCCAAGTAGCAGGAAATAGGTAGTCTTGAGAAAGACACTGTTAAGAAACTATTTTGAGAAAGTTTCAAACTTACAGAGAAGTTGCTGGAGTGGTACCTTGAAATCTAGTTTACCCTTCATTTGGATTCACCACTCACATTTGCCTTCCGTGTACTATATATGTAGTATTTGTGGAACCAGCAGAAGTGGTTTCAGGCATTCCCCTTCATCTCTGAATATTTCAGTTTTTGTTTCCTAAGGATAAGAGCATTCTCTTGCACAACCACTGTAGAAGTATCAAATGCAGGACTTCTAAGATTGGTGTAATTTAATATATAGTCCATGTGAGAATTGTGCAGATTTTTCGAAATGTCTTTATATTAACTTTTAACAATCTCCCTGCTCCTAATCACCCATTGCATTTAGTTGTCTCATCTCTTGAGTTTCCTTGAATTTGGAACAGTTTTTAGCTTTTGTCCTTCATAACATTAAGAGTTTGAAGAGTGCATGCCAGCTGTTTAAAGAATGGTCCATAATTTGGATCCTTCTAATTGTTTCCTCATGCTTCAATTCAGGTTAGGCATTTTGGCAGGAATACTAAATGCTGGTGTATTATATCAGAAGGCACATGATGTCATTTTATCCCATTGGTTGTGTTAACTTACTTGGTTAAGGTATTGTCCACCAGATTTCTCCACTGTAAACTTATTTTTTCCCTTTATGGTTAGTATTTTGTGGAAGGATATGTTGAAATTATCTTATTTCTCAACAAACTCAATGATTTTAGCATCTGTTGATTTTTGCTTGAATTAAGTATACCTTCTGTTAAGAAGAGTCTTCCTTCTCCCCATAGACCTAGGTTCTTGTTTCATTTATGTGTTAACTGACAGCCATTAGGCTTACCCCATTTCATGCAGTGGGGGGTGTGGGGGCTCCTTTTCTAGCTCCCTAAATGAGACTTATAGTCTGTTAATACATTGAAGGATTCTTATTTATGACCAAATACTTTGAAACTCAGATATCAAATTTCTTTCTGCTTAAGTCATAACAGTACTATAAAATTTATGAAAGCTTGATGGAATGTCTTAAGGGATAAACTGCAAATGGAAATTTACCAGTGGTCAAGATAATACCACCAAAATGGGCAATTTTAGAGAACAAATATCTAATTTTTACTGATTCTGAAATATCACACCTTTCGTTTCTTTTGTGTGTGTGTGTGCTCTAATTACTTCTTTTTTGAGGAAGATTAGCCCTGAGCTAATATCTGCCGCCAATCCTCCTGTTTTTTTGCTGAGGAAGATTAGCCCTGAGCTAACATCCATGGCCATCTTTCTCTACTTTATAAGTGGGACGCCTGCTACAGCATGGCTCGACAAGCGGTGTGTAGGTCTGCACCCGGGATCTGAACTAGCCAACCCCAGGCTGCCAAAGTGGAGTGTGCAAACCTAACCATTGCGCCATTGGCCTGGCCCTAATTATATTTTAAAAATCATATAATGCACACCCAACTACATTCTCATGAAATTGAAACACGTTAAAATCCACCTTGACTAGCTGTCTTCATACTAACTCTTAATCTCATTTGTTTCCTCTCCAGAATTACCTACTGTGTATGATTTACTGTTAACTCTATCTACATATATATATGCATATTGAAATGCTTCATTTCTACCTTTTTTGCATAAATGTGATTATTGATGTTATGCAATTTGCAGAATTTGTAGATATTTGTCAGGAGTTAAAGACCTATAGTGTGCCATATGGATGGATTATGGTTTACTTACTTTAATATCTAGTTCTCTGACATCCTTATTGCCCAAATTGCTTGGCAATCTGGAAGTATTTTGAGAGTGCAAACCATGTGAAATGAGTGGTTCAGAGGACTCTTAATTTCTTACAAACTTATAAGTTATGTTTATGCTTGTGTTCTTAAGATAGAACTTCCTTCAGATTTGCTAATAGTAATCAAGTCTTATACTCTTTATGTTAAAAATTATTTTACGCAGATACATATATTCGGAATGTTTAAGTTAGTGTTGCTTAAAATAACAGAATGACCAATAACATGTCCAACACATAACGTTCAGCATAGCTGTGGTAGAGGAATAGCACCTTGACACTCAACTAACATTACTGAGGTGAATGAATTAGCCATTCAATGGTATGTTAATGAATTACAATTTAATAAGGCAGAGCCCTACCTGAGCATAAGCTACAGCCATAGCTGGAATTTGGCTATGTCTTTGGTGGACCAACATGGAGAGACCAACAGGAGTCTTACTTGCATGAAAGAATGAAGACTTTTCTGATGAGATACAGCTCATCTTAAAGATATCGAGAATAAGGCAGGCTGGTTTGCCCAGTAGCAAGCATGGGGCCTTGCAGTTAGCAGTAGCAGAGGTAACCATGGTGACTGCAGTACCCAGAGATCAGAGAAAGGCAAGGGCAGGAATCATACGAGCAGCATGGGAAGTGTTGAGCCTCTTTGGTAGGGACATTAATAAACACGATTATTCCACTGGTCAGTAGTGGCAGCAGTGGAGTGGTGAGACATTGCATGCTCTGTGCGCTGTGCACACAAGTATGAAATTCCATTAAAGGGAGCCGTTCTTGGAGAGGAAGAAAATGGCTGATTTCATGTATGAGCAGGCAGGCCTTATTCATGGTCCATGTGAGACAACCTTGGGGACACCTGGAAATAATCGGGCAATATTTTGCCTGGGACTGGAGATCCTGCGTTAGTATCTCGGAGTAATGTGTTTATCAGTACCAAGCGTCTGTGCCACACTGCCTTTCTGGTTGTTAAGTGAAGAATGTTATATGGGGAAATGGAGGCTATAATAAATCAAAGGAGCAGTTAGGAGTGGTGGTCAAAAGGATTTCAGCCTAATCTGAATGTTTTCAATTTACAGCATTAATACATTATCACGATGTAGAGGGAACTCTTTACATAGGCTTCCCTGTATCATAGTATCTAACCCTTATGTTACTAAAGACCATAGAACGTTTACCAGCAGCAGTTAGCTTAATTTCACCTTTTTGAGATAAAAGTAAACTAGGATTTAACAATTGTGCCCTGATTCTACTTATGCCCAGATCTGAGATAGCATAAGCTGGCATTTTTAGATAAGCCACTATATTCATTATGTGGGTAGCTATTTGAAAACATAAGAACATGTCATAATTTAAAGTTAAGAACTGGA